ACCTTCAAACCGTTTGAGGGAGAATACTCTATGATATGATTAAGAATCTCTGGCCAGAGTATGAATGAGATTTAGGAAGTCATTCCAAATCACATTCAAGGTAATCATATAAGTAAATGAATCACATTGGATAGTAGACATGAATAAACTATCAATCCAAACAATGTGGTCAAGAGTATTGTATTAGAGAAAGACCGTATTGCATTGTAATCCTAAACTTAAATAGGTTCTCCACCTCTTCTGATTAGCTTGGGTAACCATGACATACTGCTAGGTGTCACTCATGGTTTGTGGAAGCCCTAAACGTGTATAATCACTAAAGGGAGAATTGAAAGTAAGTTTCAATTCACAATCGATTTGAAAGACTTCTAATCGCCCACTGCCTCGCTAAAAGGAACCTAATGGATTGTACACCGTGTAAGGTAGAGATTGAAGAAACAACGAAGATGAGTAAGGATAATTAAATGGTTTAATTATTTATTTATGGCTAGAATTAATTAATATGTTAATTAATCAAATGAATAAGTTCGTTATAGACCTAGGGTTAGTTTTGGGCCGCAAGGCCCAATGGGATTTGAATGTCAATCCCATTAACTCAAGTTGTATGACAACTTGAATAAACAAAGGGCTTGAAAGCCCAATAAACCCTTAAGGCCGGCCATTTAGAGGAAGGGTAGTGAACTTGCTTTAATTACAAGTTTGCCACTCCAATGAAGGAAGGTATAAATATGACTTTATAGCCAAAATTCATTTAGAGTTTTTTTTTTTGGAGAAAAGATGAGAACACAAACTCTCTTTTCTCTCTAAAGAGGCCGGCCACCCTAGAGGAAAATAGCTAGCAATCTTACTTCCTCTAGGTCACTCATTTCTTCATCAATCTTTCCTTGGTGTGGAGACTTAGAGGTTCTCAACTTTGAGAACTTGGAGAAACCAATTCTTCCATCCAAATCCATGGAGCTAAGAAGCAAGGAATGAAGGCCCTATCTCTTGGGTGATTATCCTTTGCTTATGCAAAGAGGAATCAACAAAGGTATAATTTCTCAACTCACTTTGTTTTGAGTTGAGTCTTGGTTCACCTAACTACTAGACTTTGAATTTCATGGGTAATGTTTTGTTTTGAGTGCATGCAAGCATGATTCCACCTTTAATTTCTTAATTGCATGCTATAGATGTTGCTCAAATGAACATGTTTTTCACAAAATTTCCTTCAAGCATGGATGGCACGGCTCGAGACGTGGTAGCGGTGCCATGGACCTCACCACAAGTAGTGGTGACCGTGGTGGCCATCGCGGTGGTTGCTATGGTGGAGCTCCATAGCGATGATGCCGCTCCTATGATCACATTTAGCCTCGTGGATCGCCGTGGGCCCATTTCTTGAATATTGAAATTTTCACTTGTGGAATTTTCTAAATTTCTAGCCATTGTATTTCTCGTTTACGTTTTATCAAAGAATCTTTGCATATAAAAAATTCTAATAATAAGAATGTACGAAAAGTCTACAAATGGACAAGAAAGTAGAAAAACCTTTTGATGTGGGAGTCTTCTACGAGTGTGTGACTCTTCTCTCAATGAAAGCCCCAATTTGTGGATGCAAATTTCTTCCTCCTTGATCCTGGACAAAATTGCACCTACAAAACAATTAACACCTTTGGTTAAGGCCAAAAGCCTCATGCGCCCACAATGAATTGGGGGGGGGGGGGTGGGGCTTTGGCCAAAGAACCTCCGATGCCAAAGTTAGAATTTAGAGAGAAAAGTGTTTAGAGAGTTTTTGGAGTTTTGCAAGAGTGTGGACCTAGGTTTTTAGAGAAAATGGGGTTCAGTATATAGAGCATGGCCGGTCCCCCTTTTGAGAAAAGGTGGCCCGCCTTTTAGGGTATTTTTGTGTGAAATGGGTGATTTAATCGGTAATTAATGGATTAATTATGTAACATTCCACATCGCCCAGGGGAATGGATCCTCTAAGCCTTATATGTATATTCCTATCTCTATCTAGCACGAGGCATTTTGGGAGCTCACTGGCTTCGGGTTCCATCGAAACTACGAAGTTAAACGAGTTCGTGCGAGAGCAATCCCAAGATGGGTGACCCACTGGGAAGTTCTCATGTGAGTTCCCATAAACAAAACCATGAGGGCGTGGTCGGGGCCCAAAGCGGATAATATCGTGCTACGGCGGAGTCGAGCCCGGGATGTGGTGGGGCCTCGGGCCGGGATGTGAGAAATTAGGAATAAATCCATTAATTAGCCAATTAACTCAATTTATATGGAATGTTTTGAAGGTTATGAAATAATTACCTTGTGGAAAATATAGGATGAGGATGGAAGAAATAACTTTGAATTTGTTACCTATTTTCGGCATTTTTGACTTGATTGAAGGTTGATTGCCCATTGCTCACGCGTAGGAATCCCGATGTGCCTCGAGGGTAATTTTGTCCTTTTTACCCAAAAATCCACGTGTCGCCTCTTGATTATTTTTGGCTCCACAATATATATGTTCAAATTTAGGAATATGATTAACTCCCACTAATCTTTTGTAAACCTAGTAAACAAAAGATTCATTTACATCTTTATGAGAAATCAAACGATTTGATCTTTCTCTCATAAGACGCTTGTTAAGATTCATGATAGATGGATCTCTGCAACTTACACGTTTGTGATTCCTAGTCTTTAGACATATGTTATCAAGACAATCTTGATAATGGTTTCGGAAACCCATATTATGTCCAAACATTGAATCACCGTTTAGTTGTAGTTAGCAATCTTCGAATTAACAGAAACCAAGACTACGTCAAATATGGTTTCTTCTAAGTCAACCAATCTCGTTGATTGTAGTCACCTTAAGCTACCAATTAGCTATGAAGTTTCACTATTTCGGGTCAAATGGTGCTATACCATTTCCTTGAGTATATGTTGTATATACACTCAATGTAGTCATAAGGACTTTCATTCTTATTTCTTTCAAATTAAGAGGTGTAACTCTATGACATAGTCATAAGGTTCAAACTATTCAACTGAGATGGTTTATAGATCCTTCTCGACTACCTTGGAGCTAGTGGTGTAGGAACTAGGTTGTTATATTTGTTGATTGTCATCTTATCTCTCAAAGAACCCATTCTTTGAGCTCTATCTCTCGTTCATTTGATCTATCTTAGGCAAATCCCATTGTAGGATTAGAATGAACTACCCAACAAATAACATTGGTTAGTTGGTTTATAGAAGTGATATCCAAAGGTTAATTTAAGGATATCCCACAAGATTGTTCTCAAACAAATATTGCTTATTAGCACACAACCCCAAATCTTAACACAATTAAGACTTGTCTTTCTTTCCAACTACATCCTATGGAGTCATGGAAATTTTGGAAGATCTTCTAATTGACAATCATATTGTCTTAGAAGTGTGTATACATACATACATACATACATACATACATATATATATATATATCCTATATATGGGTAATTGATAACATCTAACAAACTACATCTTATTCGAGTTCGTTCTTCCCCCAATGGAGAAATCCATCATCTTATGATGCTACTTTCCTTGATTTCTTTCTAGGACACTCTTCTAATGTGTTACTTTTCCTTGGATCAAATCTAAGGAGGTAAATACTTTAGACGTCTTACTCATCAACTTACATTCTTGAATTCTTTGAAACCTATTGCAAAGTATTCGGACTTGTGTTTATTCAAAATAAATGATAGTCCAACCAAGAGTGATCTTCGGTGAATGTCATACAACATGAGTAGTATTATGTTGTGGACAAGTGCCACTAACATCAAAGTGAATTAACCTCAACAACTTTGTGATTCTTTCTTCTTTTCAAAAGAATAAAAATTTGAACATTTTGCCTCTATATAATTTTAACAAGAAGCCATTTGATCCGGATCTAACGATCCAAAGCATCCATGTATGACCAACTTGTAATTTATGTTTTAGAGGTGTCACAACTCAGTAGGATTAGTCACTACCTTGCAACCTTTTGGGTTTTAAGCATCATTATATTCTAAACAGTTAGCATTACCACATCTTCTCTACTATAGCGAGGCAGTGGGCGATTAGAACTCTTTAAATCGATTGTGAATTGAAACATACTTTCAATTCTCCCTTTAGTGATTATACACCTTTAGGGCTTCCACAAACCATGAGTGACATCTAGCAGTATGTCATGGCTATCCAAGCTAATCAGAGGAGGTGGAGAACCTATTCAGCTTTGTTTAACATGTGAAATGCCCTTTATATTAAACTAGATTAGTTTAACATGTGAAATGCCCTTTATATTAAACTAAATTAGTTTAACATGTGAAATGCCCGTAAAGTATCATTATATGATTGGCTTTAGGGCACATTTCCAACATTCAAGGTTTGGATGATGGAAACATGACTTTCGAGAGGCTATCAAGATAATAGGGAGAACCTTTGACATCACAGTTAATAATTATCCAAAGATAATCCCAAAAATATCATGAAAGTATGGCAATTAAGATAAGCATATAAAGAGACAAAACGTAAGTATCTGATGAGCATGCTGACAAGACAAATTGAACCTGGAAGTGTAGCTTTAAACAATATAGTTCATAGTAGAAAATACCAATAAACCGCTAAAGATCTTCATACCTTGGATTATCTAGGGCTTTAGTGAATATGTTAGCTAGTTGTTTTTTAGTTGGCACAAAGTTTGGGGTAAGTATCTTACCTTCCACTAGACCTTTAATGAAGTGATGCCTGATGTTAATATGTTTGGTTCTTAAATGTTGGACTGGGTTCTTAGAAATATCAATTGCATTCATGTTATCACAATAAACAAGAAAAATGGATTGAGATATACCATAGTCACTGAGCATTTGTTTCATCCACATCAGTTTAGTTCAACATCTCCCACAACCACATATTCTGCCTCGACAGTGACAAAGAGACACATTTTTGCTTCTTGTTGTGCCAAGCAACCAAATTGTTCCCAACATAAAAGGCTCCCCTGAGGTACTTTTTCGATCATCAATTCACTTAGCCCAATCAGCATCACTGAACCCAACCAAGTTTGTGTTGGTGTCATGAGTATATTGAAGTCCATAATCAATGGCGCAATACACATACTTGATAATCGTTTTGACTGCTTGTAAATAAGACTCCTTGAGACAGTTTTGAAATCGTGCACATACCTTAATAGCAAATGTGATGTCAGGTCTGCTGGCAGTCAGGTAGAGTAAGCTTCTAATCATGCTTCTATATAGAGTTTGATTAACATCCTTGCCACTTGAGTCCTTGTGAATTTTGGCACATGTGCTCATTGGAGCTCTAGCAGCTTTTGAACCCTCGAGACCAAACTTCTTCGCTAAATTCTTGGCATACTTTGTTTGAGAGATGAAAATGCCATCATTTTCTTGTTTCACTTGAAGTCCAAGGAAGTAGTTTAACTCACCAACCAAGCTCATCTCAAATTCACTTATCATCATGTCGATAAATTATTTCACTAGAGAATCAGAAGCAGATCCAACTACTATGTCATCAACATACACTTGAGCAATCACAACATGAGATTAACCTTCTTAATAAAAAAGGTTTCATCAACAGAGCCTCAAGTATAACCATGAGTAAGAAGATGAAAAGACAAACTATCAAACCAAGCACGTGAGGCTTGTTAAAGACCATAGAAAGCCTTCCTCAGTTGTACACCTCATCTAGCTTGTGAGGATCCTCAAAGCCCTTAAGTTGTTCAATGTAGACCTCCTCATTAAGGTATCCATTAAGGAATGAGGTTTTGACATCCATTTGAAAAAGCTTGAACTTTAAATAACATGCAATAGCATAAAGAAGTCTAACTAATTCAAGACGAGCAACATGAGCGAAGGTTTTATCAAAATCAACACCTTCAAGTTGAGAGTATCTTTGAGCAACAAGCCTGGCCTTATTTCTGATTACATTTCCTGACTTATCAGACTTGTTCTTGTAAACCCATTTTGTGCCAATAACATTAGTGTTCGATGGACGATCAACAAGGGACTAGACTTCAGTTTTCTCAAATTGATTTAGCTCGTCCTGCATAGCTAAGATCCATTTTTCATTAGTTAGAGCATCTTTGATATTCTTGGGCTCAATCTGAGAGACATGGCAAACATTTGCAACTTCATTAGCTATTTGTCTTCGAGTTATAATGCCTTTGTCAATCGGACCCACAATTTCCTCATCATGATGATCACTGGCCCACTTCGGTTTGTCCTTGAATATGACTCGAGAAACTTGAACAGTGCTTGATTCACTCTCATTGTCACTTTCTGATACCACACTTTACTCACCAGATGCATCACTGTTATCATTAGAAGAGGGAAATAACACATCATCATTTTTATTTGCCAAAGAGGGAGGGACATTAATGTCATCAATCTTGACATGTATGGACTCCATGATGGTTTTTGTTCTCAGATTTAAAACCCTTTAAGCCCGACTTGTGTTGGATTACCCTAAGAAGATTCCTTCATCACTCTTAGTATCAAACTTTGCTAGATGTTCACGATCACGCATAATTTAGCAAACACTCCCAAAAACTTTGAAATACTTTGATATTGGCCTCTTACCATGCTAGAGTTCATAACTTGTCACATTAGTGCCAGGATGGAGAAACACTTAATTTGAGATATAGCAAGCAGTGTTCATGGCCTCTACCCAAAAATGCTTTGCCAAGTTTTTGCTGTTAAGTAGCACCCTAGTCATCTCTATCAAAACACAAATTTTCCTTTCCATTACACCATTTTGTTGAGGGGTGATTAGAGCAGAAAACTCATGCTTGATGCCATTGGTTGAACATAAATCATCAAAGTGAGTATTCTCAAATTCAGTTCCATGATCAATTCTGATTCTGACTATAGCAGAATGGCTAGACAGAAATTCATTCAACATTACTTTGTACACAGTGAGGAACTCTTGAAAGGTATAAGGATTTTCCCTTAAAAAGCATACCCAAGTGAATCTAGAGTAGTCATCCACATTTACCAAGATGTACTTCTTGCCACCAAGAGATAAAGATTGAATTGGTCCAACAAGATCCATATGAATCAATTGAAGAGACTTAGTTGTTCTAATGTCAATCACTTTCTTGTGTGCCACCCTAGATTGCTTTCCTAATTGAAATGATCCACAAACATAAGAGTCCGAAACAAAAAGAGGTGGCAGCCCTCTCACTGCCTTATGTTTGGACAACTTCTTGAGGTCTTTGAAGTTCACATGCCCAAGTCTCTTATGCCACAATACACTAGTTTCATCAATAGCTATGTGGCACATGGAGTATTTAGCAAGTTTAGAGACATCAAGAATGTAGCAATTGTCCTCAGATCTCGAGAGTACAAGTAAGTTATTTCCCATGTTCATCCATAATCTGACACCTTTTTCTTTTAGAAGCACACTTTATCAGCCACATCATTACACAACTGGCTAATGCTAATGAAATTTGAATTCAACCCATCAACATATCTAACATTTTCAAGCTTAGGTAATCTAGGGATCTTGACCATCAACTATGATCTAAGACTTGTCTCCACCACCAAACACAACACCACGACCAATAAAAGGAGCAAGAGATGTGAAAGCCTCCTTGTCTCTAGTCATGTGACGAGAGCACCCACTATTAAGATACCACACATTTGGTTTGGTAGTAGATATAGCATTTAGAACAACAAGGCACTTTTTTGAGTCTTTCCGAACCCACTTCAAACTTTGCATAATATTTTTAAATGAAGAAGAATGAAAAAGTTGACCAATTATGTTGACTTTGATGACCAGACGATCCACCTAATTTGTCAACAAATTAGTCTTTCCTGAGTACAATTTTCTACATTTTGGACAAATGTGCCCAACTTCACCACAGTAATGACACGTAGGAACAGATCTTGTCTTTGGACATGGTTTGATTTTTTGAGATACAAGCCTAGATTTTCTCACAAATTTTGTTTTGGTGGGGATAGAACTTGAACCACTTTCTACAATACCAAAACCACTTTTGTCACCGTGTAATTTCAAATACTTAGCATCTTGTCAAAATTTTCATCCCCAATAGTAAGGCAAATAACTTTATCATTTACCTCATTCAGCTCAAGTAGTTGTTTCCTATTAGCCTCATGATACATCACATTATTTTTCTTCAACACATGAATTTGATTCGTCAAGTTTTCTTGAGATTCTAGCAAGTTTTGAACCTAAGTTTCAAGAGTAGTGATGACATCATTATCTTCAACTTTGTCATTGCAATTAGGAGCCTTCTCATTTAGCTCCTCAACATGGGCCTCAAGATAACCAATCTTTTCATCCAATTCAATTCTGACTAGACGAAGAGACTTGTTTTCCTTCTGTAAATCAACAACTTTCATAGTTAGTTCAATCTTTTCCACTTTTGTAGAGCAAGTCTCATTAAAGAGTGTATCATACTTAATGCACAATTCATCATCAGTCATCTCCTCATTGCCATTCAGAACAGAATCATCATCATCTAGAGACACTTCCTCAATTGGAGCAACAAAAGCAACAACCTTTGCTTCATCATTCCATGACTCATCAGAATGCATAGAACCTTGATCATTGTTATCACTCCAAGCAACCATCATTGCCTTTCTTCCACTTTTGACCAAAGAGTTTGGTGTTAGCACAATCAGCGGCACGGTGCCCATTTCCACCACATGCAAAGCAGGGAACAAGTACCTTTTAACAAACCTTTGTCTCCTTTTCTAGTGAACCCTTTATTCTTCACTCCATTAGATTGTTTCCCCCTGCTGTTTGATGACTAGCTAAACCATTTAGAATCATTTCCTTTATTTTTGAGAATTATTGTAAATTGTTTGACGAATAGGGCAAGATCATCTTCTAAGGCATGTTTACACATATCATTAACATTCTCACAGTACTCAACACTTTGAAGGGCTACTTCTTTTCTCTTCTTGGAGTCAATTTCATCCATGTCAAGGTTCATCTCATAGGTAAGGAGTTTCCCAACCAATTTTCCAAGCTTGATCTCATTTAGGTCCTGAAGCTCTTGAATGGCAACCTTCCTTGCTTGAAATCTTTTGGGCAAGCATCTCAAAATCTTTTGAACAACTGTTGTTTCATCAATAGGCTTCCCTAACCGCAAGGCTTCATTTGTTAACATTTCAACTTTCTCAAAGAAGACCGAGAAAGTCTCAAACTCGAGCATTCTCAAGTCCTCAAATTTGGAAAAGGTCATTTGGAACTTTAAATCTCTTACTTGTTTATCACCATCATGAAGAATTCAGAGTTTGCCCCAAGCTTGCTTGGTAATTATGCAATATCAAACATGAGCAAACTGATTAGACGAAATGGCAAAACAATGGCATTTTTTGTTTTCCCATTAGCCATGGCCGCATCAATTTCTCCTTGAGTCCAGTCACCTTTTGGCTTAATCATAGACTTTCCATTAACTAGCCTTGATGGAGCCTTCTACTCAAGAGTGAGATAATTAATAATTATAAGATCTTGAGCCTAAGGAATATCTAAAACTTCTCCTTCCAAGCAGTATAATCTGTACCATCAAAGAATGGAGGTGTATTACATGAGCTACCGACACGATTATGGTCCATGGTGAGATTGCACCCAATACCAGCAAATCCCAAAGATCACTCTATGTATATTCAGAGTAAGGCTTTGATACCAATTAAAATTAGTATCGGGTGGAATATCCTGTATATAGAAATTATAATCAACTGGACTGGCTTGTTAAGCCCGCTAGTCAACTAAGATAGATTTGTTAGTCAATAAATCGAAGATTAAAATACCAATTTTAATTCTCAAAAACTATCATAGTTAACAAGGCTGTAGTTCATTGCAAGTTGTTAATGTGTTAAGTGAGCATGGCTATGAGCACATACCATTTATATGTTCAACAAATATATGTATCATGTATGTGTACGTGAGATGTGTGACACAATAAAATAACTGGAACACAAGATATTTTTGGCTTGAAAAACCCACCTCTAGGTTGAAAAACCAAGGACTCTCCACTGAGTCCAATCCACTAGTCTAAACAAAGGTTCATAAAAAGATCACACAAGATCAATTCCTAGATCCATATCTACATAGCAGCTTTACCTTTGTGCAACCTTACCTTACATGAGATGGACTCCTTCGATCTTCACAAAGTGGTAGGTCCTCCTAAGCTCATCACCTTGTGGCACTGAGATCAACACAATCAATGATATGATATGATTTTATGATATGCATATGAAATCTAGAATCAAATGACCAGTCAGATTCTCCAGTCAAACTGTTGAAGGAATAATCTAACTTGAATCCCAAAGCTTGGTCTAAAAACCGGATTTAAAGCTTAAAACTAGACCAAAACTTTAATGCAAAACTTTAAAACAATGCAACCGTAATGCACAATGATTAGGTGTTTAATGCATGTGGAAGGTTTGGTAGTTAGGGTTTCATAAAGGAGATGATGCAAGCTCAAGGC